CCATAAGCAAAAGGCCAATTAATCAATAATGTATTCAAGATACTACACATTTTCAATAACGTTTTCCCCAGTTTTGGACAGTATTGCAGTTGTAAATACAATTTTACATATTACTCTCCTTTAGGAACTGTACTTTATCTTTAACACCAGCAAATATTCCAAGAGCCCGAAGAATCACTACAGGTTTAGAGCACTCTAAGAAAAGTAATGTTTTACCTGTTTTCAAAAACTGTGCTGTAAATTGTCATATATCTGATATAATCAGGCATTGGGACGGCTTTGGGATGACTGCTACCATTCCCACCAACCCCTCATATCTGTACAGCACTTTATAGTTTACAAAGTTCTTTGATATACATGAATCAAATATTCCAACTAAGAGAAAGCAATTAAAGTAAAATCTATACATCATTATAAACATACACAATTTAACCTCTGATGACTGAAAAGGTTGCAGAGAATTAAAATGTATTACCATAAGCTATTATAAATATCAATTTACTGTAGATTCTTATTTTCATAAATAAAAAACTGACGCTGAGAAACTACCACAAGACCAAAAGCTTAACTTTTTTGGGGGGGGGGGAATCTTTTTTATTTTTATACACATGACAAGATTTTACAACAAGAATAGTCAGTTAAATAGTACAAATTTACACTCATGAGGAAGGTTAAAAAAAAATTCAACTAGGCCATGGGCAATGGCTCACGCCTATAATCCCAGCACTTTGGGAGGCTGAGGCGGGTGGATCATCTGAGGTCAGGAGTTTGAGACCAGCCTGGCCAACATGGTAAAATCCTGTCTCTACCAAAAATACAGCTGGGCATGGTGGCAGGCACCTATAATCCCAGCTACTCAGGAGGCTAAGGCATGAGAATCACTTGAACTTGGAAGGTGGAGTTGCAGTGAACCAAGATCCTACCACTGTACTCCAGCCTGGGCGACAAGTGAAACTCCGTCTTAAAAAACAAATTGAACTAAAAAATAACATGTTTTCCTATAACCCATAATCCCACATTTTACAGTGCAGGGGATGAGGAGCCTGGTGGGGGGCCATCTAAAAAAGGTCTCTCCAAAAAGAAATGACTTAAATTTCACATTCCCTCTCCACACAGGATCCAAACTGTGAGAGTATAATTTACAATTCATCTTTTTCAGTAGATTCCCTAGCCGTTTCTTGTTCTTCTTCATCTGTTCCCACATCCATTTCTTTGTCTTCGTCTTGCTCTGTGTCTTCTGTTGTGTCTTTTGTCTCTTCAGGTTCTTCTTCCGGTTCTTCTTCTACCTTTGCATCAGGGTCAATGTTCAAACTGAGGTGGAGCATTCTTTTTATTCTATCTCCATATGCTGTAATGTCTGGTAAAAGATATCCTGACCAAAACATTGCTGTTTCAAACAAAACGACAGCAAGATCCAAAGCTGTTTTACCATCTTCATCTTCCTTAATTCATCGAAACATGTCTCTGATCAGTGGGTGTCTGGGATTAATTTTAAATGTTTTCTTCTGACTCACATAGTAATTTGTAGAGATGTCCTTGCCCATTTGGTACGCTTGTGCTTTCATGATTCTCTCCGTGTTGCCAGGCCATCCGTACTGGATGGCCACCAAAGCTCACAGAGATTCTGGCTGAGACACCACAGCCTTTTCAGTCTTGTCCTTAAGGGCTTTATCTTTCATCCAAGGGAGCAGAGGCTCAAATTCTTTCTCAACTGCTTCATGACTCTTCTTAGTTTTCCCACTTTCATCAAACTTCACTGCTTCCTTGACAACATTCTGGAATCTCTTCCCATAAAATTCGGAAAGGGCCTGAATGCGGTATTCACCCACAGGTTCCGTGAGGTAAATAACTTCATAGGCCTTTTTCAGAAGTCGCTCAACGAATGGAAAAAATTCAGCCCTTTTTCTGCTGGACCCAGCCATGAAGTAGATTTTGTCTTGTTTTTCCTTCATTTTCTCCACATACTGGTCCAGGCTAGTACTGTTAGCTGGATGATGAGGAGACGGGAATCTAAGAAGTTTCACGTGTTCGATTCGAGTGGTCTTCAATTACACCAAGCTTGATGTTGGTACCAAATTCTTTCCAAAAGGTATCATTGTATTACTCATCAGCAATCTTCTTAATCATGTCCAGTGTTTTATGAACAAGCTTCTTCCTAATCACATTAAGCAGTTTATGCTGCTGAAGAGTCTCAAGGGAAACATTCAAGGAAAGAACATCTGAGTCCACCACACCCTGAACAAAATTAAGGTACTTAGGCATCATATCATGGAAGTCATCTATGATGAATACACGGTATACATAGAGCTTAATGTAATCACTCTTTTTAGATCCATATTCGACAAATAGACCATGTAGAACAGATGTGGGTACAAATAAAATTGATTTGAAGGTAACTTCCCCTTCAGCAGTAAAGTGAATATAAGCCATGGAGTCAACACTTTCCTTTGAAAATGATTTGTAGAAAGTTTTATATTCATCTCCTTCTACTTCTTTGGATGTTCTCTGCCATATTGGTTTGATATCATTCATATGTTCCCAGTCTCAGACAGTTTTTCCAACTTTTTTAGTCTTTGGTTTCTTTTTTTCTTCTTCTTCTCCTGCAGCTTCCTCATGAGATTCTTCTTTCTCTTCTTTTGCTGCTGTGTCTTCCTCCATGGGCTCCTCAACAGTTTCAGTCTTGCTGCTCCACACATAAACAGGAAAGTTTATGAACCGTATTTTTTGATGAGATTTTTAATTGTATCCGATTCAAGGTAATCAGATGCTTCTTCTTTGAAAACAAGGGTAATGGTCGTTCCCTATCCTAGAGTGTTTCCTCTTGAGTCAGCAATTACAAAAAATTCACTGGAGTCAGACTCCCAGATGTGCTAGGTATCATTGTGCTTTGATGTGACAATAACCTTACCTGCTAAAGGAAGGTGACACCAAACTGGCCAATCAATTCAGAAGGTGACTGGCCATCTGCCTGTGCTTCATTCATTTTGTTTACAAACTCGCTTGTCCCAGATTTGGCTATGGTATCAACGTTTTTAACCAACTGTCCTCTGGTCATTCCTACACCAGTGTCTGTGACATCCAGCAGGTACTTCTCCTCATCACACTTAATTTTGACTGTTAGTTCCTCATTTCCAGAAAGAGCATTTTCATCAGTCAGTGATATTAGCTTTATCTTATCTAAAGCATTGGAAGCATCTGAAACCAGTTTTCTCAGGAAAATCTCTTTATTTGTATATAATGAATTGATAGTTTCATCATTTTGTTAACTTCAGCTTGGAAGGCAAACTTTTCCTACTTCAGTTCTCTTACTGGTGATGCATTTACTCCATCCAGCTGAATAGCTGCTTCTTCTCTCTGTACTACTTCATCATCCATCCTTGAGCCTTCTCCACTTTTACCCAGATCCTCTTCTCCTGTACCACCCACATCAATTTGATCATCAGCTCTGACCAACCTGAGGGTCAGCAGGGCCCAGCAGAGGCCCAGCACCCACAGGGCCCTCATGGTGTGTGTCCAGTAAGTCTCAAGTCCCTTTGGATCGCAGGAGCCGCCTCCACCTCCCCCACTGACTGCCGACCCCTGGGCTCAGATCCTCACACTTCCAGCCGAGTGGTCCACCCACAAGTTTGGCTTTTATAAGCAAAGGTCAATTCTCAGAACAAAGTCTACCCCATTGGGCTGTGGTTGATAATTAATAAGTAATCCACTCACAAATATTTCTTAATACATAAAGAAAAAAACACGTGAAAATCTAGGCTATAATCCTTGTCAAAATATTTCTTATACTACTTCTTGCTAAAAGGTTAAAAAATACTAATATGGTTTTACATCATGCAATGATGACTTTGCAAAAAGGGACTTATATAACTGTGTATGGATTTTCCAAGGTGGAAAGCTGAAAAATCTAATTTCAGAAATATAAGTAGACACTCAACATATTTATCAATATGCCAATCACGAAAGAACAAAACATGCATATCTATTTACTTCTAGATATAGCAAAGATAAATTAATTTTATAGTGCTTTCTACCCACTTATGGGCATTGTACACATACTAAATAAAACTTTTCCAGGAAAACAAGCCATATACCTGAAGCCAGTAAGATACACTTTCCAGTTATTTAGCAAAGTCCAATATAGAGAAGGGAATGAAGAATGGGTGAATTCACAAAGTAGTAACATTTCATAAATCATCTAAAATGAATGAGAACTGGAATTCAAGTAAAAGATTCAAATGAGGTTAAGTGATAACCAGAAAAGGCCATACAAAGTAAATCCATTTAATACAGAGACCAAATTTTACAATAAATAGTGGGAAGAAAAAGTTTGATTTGGACATTCTCTTGAAAAACTTTTAGTTTACCTTGTATGTGATACAATTCAGATTATAATGGAAACAATATGCTTATTCTTAGAACATAAAAAGAGAAAATTAAATGTTGCTTCTGTGGCAAAATTTTTTCCAAAAAACTGTATGCTAGCCCAATTCAAAATCATTTAATTTTCACAGGGCAATCATAAAGGTTTTGTTTTCAAAACACTCAAGTTACATTAAGCTTCCCAAATGCCTCTCTTAATGCTTCAATTTTCAAACCATTCTCCCTTTAATGACTATAACTCAAAAGCATTGTTGATCTTTCTCTTGTTTACTTATTAACTGGTCTGATTAAATCACCTCAGAAGCTTAACATACAAACAAATTACAAGTCAGGACAGATGCACACACTAAATGAAGAATAGTTTCTGAATGGGTACTAACTTTGTAAGTGGTACATGAGTGAATATTTTGCTTTCCTACACAACTTCTCCTGCAACCTTGTAACTGCAGGAACGTGAATGAGAAATTCATAGCCAATGAGAAACCCGTGTGTGTGTATTTATATTACCTGTATATATAACAACAGGGGACATAAGTCTTGGTCTGGATATCTTAGGGTATGTAAAATGTATCTTAATCACATTTATAAATGATTTTTTGTAGTGTAATATAATACTGTACCAAGGTTGTCAGGGAGTTCCTTTTCATATAGAGTCTCTCCAAGTACTGCAGTCCTTCATCTTTCAGTAACTCCAATGGAAAATGGTGCAGATTCCTATAATTTAAGAACAAATTCTTGTGCTTTTCCAGCCTTGCCACAGAGATCGTCTTACAAAGTTCAGATGCCATGACTGAATATATCCCATCAGGCAGACTTGTAGCATTACATCTTGTCAAAATTGGTCCATTTCTATAAAGACAACAAGAAAACGTATTCATTATGATTTTTTTACAAGCATTGCCATATAAACCAGTTAGCATACAGAGCTACTGGAAGACACTGAAAAAGATAATACATTCAATCCTACATTTTACTTTCATAACAACTAAAATTGTCACACATATTTAGGAAGAGATTAAAATAAATAACAATTTAATAAAAATACTCTAATTAGACAATATTTATTACTTATTATAGTCCTAATGGGAAAAAAGTTTTTGCCCGTGAGATAGGAACTCTTGTCTCAGAAAAACAGTGACCAGTTTCATAACATGCAACCAAAAGAGAAGCTTAAAAACCACATGCAGCAAACCCCATTTCTTTTATGAACTACCTCATTTTGTAGTCAGCTTATAGTGCTTTAAAAATATTAAAATACATATTATTTATATCTAGAGCAAAATATTGTCCTATATTCTGATTTTTTCTTTATCTCTTTATTCTTTTCTTCCTTTTTTTTTTTTTTTTTTTTTT